GCCGTCTCCTTAATGTAGATATTATCATTTATCATCATCGCAGAAATCGCAACGCCAGGTAATAGGTTATTTTGGATGTTTTGTGTCATAAAAATTGATGTAAAGTCACTTCTAAGCCTCGTTTTGTATCATTTTCGAGCTCCAGACTATCTCTGGTCGACGGTGAATGTGCTATGCATTTTCTAATCTAAGGTAATTGAACCTAAATCATTTTTCTCTCACAACCTTCAGGGCAAAGGTGGTTGTGCCTATTAAGACCTTAGCTTAGGAGGGTGAGGTATGTTATATATTAGAAACTCAACCATCTTAATGGAAGTCCGATTTGCATAAGAAAGTTGCGTGGTTCTTTGGTATGATGCAAGAGGAACTCATTACTAGTAAATTCCAGCAAAACCGTTATCATGCAATTTCGTTCAGGCGCCAGATCAAGTCGAAAAATCCAAAATTTGGATATAAAAGTAAAATCAGATAATGTTTTAGTAGTAGTATACTAAGTGACATATAAATCCGAACACCCAGTTTAAAGACGGCAATATGTTCACATTAATTCAACCACATCTGGTTACCATGTTTCTACTAGTGGAGTACCCCACAGGGGTCCAATTTGGGACCTCTATTATTTTTGTTATATGTCAATGACCTATGCACTTCACTGGAATGCAATAAATTAATGTTTGCGGACGATCTAAAAATGTATTGCATGTCTAGAGGACTGTGCTGCCCTGGAATCACAGATCGATGTTTTACATGACTGGTGTATTAGAAATCATCTGCATTTAAATATCTCCAAATGCAGAATAGTAACCTTTAGCCGACGTTCCACCATACTATATCCTTATACAATCAATGGTACAGACCTTTCGAGAACTGACTCGAGAACGTTCAACTCACATATTAATCAAATTATTATGAATGCGTTCAGATCATATGGCTTTATCATAAGAAACTGTAAGCTTTTTACTGATCTGTCGGCACTAACTTTATTGTAATCTAGTCTAGTCAGGTCTAAATTGGAATACTGTTCACTAATATGGAACCCAATTTACAATATTTATAAAACATGTATCGAAAAGGTTCAAAAAAATGTCTAATGTACTTATCTTTCAAGCTTGATGGGGTATATCCACAAAGAGGTAGTGATTATATGATGCTTGTGAACAGATTCAACTTTCAAACTTTAGAGAGCCGTAGAGGTCAGGCATCTGTTTTGTTTTTGCATAAACTACTAAATGGCAAAATTGACTCTGTCGACCTGTTATCACAGCTAAATATCTTTGTACCTACACTTAATGCTAGAGATCATTACATGTTTTTATGTAAAAGAGCTCGAACAAATATATTAATGAAAGCACCTATTAATCAAATGTGTGCAAGCTGGAACAAACTGTCTAACGTCTGTGACATTTTCTGCTGCAGTTTTTCAGAAATAAGAACCCAGTGTCGTGTCAATTTGTAGTTTCGCTAAAGTTAGTTTTAAGTAAATTTAGTACATTAATTGTTTTTTATTACCCATTGCTCTGTAAATGGTTTATACTGTTGGGCCATATATGCTTTATTATTATTAAATGGTTTTATTTATAAAAATTTTGTATAAGTACTTAATGTAGCATAATAAGTAAATGATAAAAATTTCAAAATGATTGCACTACTTTAAAGCCCTTTGACCTTTAATAATGTGTGGATGCACCCTGATGTGCTACGCATTCTCCAACGCGCCTAGGCATGCTTCTGATCAGGTGGTCAATGTCCTCCTGTGGTATCTCATTCCAGGCAACCACCAACTCCTCTCGAAGTGCTTCTAGAGTCTGAGGAGGACGTTGCAAATTGAGCAATCTCCTACCCATCATATCCCACACGTGCTCAATTGGGGATAAGTCGGGAGATCTTGGTGGCCATGGTAACAATGTGACATCATTATGTTGAAAGAAGTCTATTGTGACTCTTGCAACATGTGGTAGGGCATTATCTTGTTGGAAAGTTGGATCTGCCAGGGTGTCAAGATAGGGTAAAAGATGGGGTTCTAGAACTTCGTGGATATAACGCTGCGCGTTCATGTTACTTCTGATGAAGATTAAAGGTGACCTGGAACCATAAGCTATAGCACCCCAAACCATAACTCCAACAATGTGATGAACATGTCTTTCAACAAAAAACTGTGGATTCCTCCTTTCACCACGTCGCCTTCTAACCCTGGCACGACCATCGCGCATGCCTAAACAAAATCGAGACTCGTCACTAAAGACAATACTGTTCCATTCCTGATCCCAGAGCGACCGTTGTCTGCACCACTCAAGGCTATTACGTCGGTGTTCTCGAGTTAAAGGGAGGACCCAGTGTGGCCGGTATGAAAACAAGCCAAAACTTCTCATTCGTCGGTAAACACTTCGCATGCCAATAGCTCTTCCGTGTTCTGCAAACCATTCATTTGCAATGGACCTGGTAGTGGAGAAACGGTCCCTTAAGGCCAATAATCTTAGGCGGCGATCTTCACGGTCTGTTGTTCTACGGCGGCGTCCAGTGCCCCTTGCTCTTTGCGTACGGCCTTCTCGAAGCCATGCCTGACAACACCTAACCACAGTGTCTACACTTCTTTGCACTCTAACTGCAATTGCCCGAAAAGAAAGTCCAGCTGCCCGAAGACCCACTATACGGCCCCTATTAAACTCACTAAGTTGACGAAATCGTACAGGTCTCCGTACTCTAGGCATCGTAACCGATCGTAAAGGATGTCAAGAACCAAAATCCGCCAACGTTGTTTCTTTACTGCGGCTGAAATATTCATTTTTAGAGCGTTAGTGAATTAAAAAAAAGCAGTATAAAAACCGGAATGTCCAACTGATAAGGCTGAAAATTTTTTCACTTGTTATTTACAGTAAGATAAATACATTCACCAACTTTTATTAAAATAAAACCATTTAAACTGGGTGTTCGGATTTATATGTCACTTAGTATATTTCCCACTCCACAAAATTTCTTGGCATATGAGCAAGACGACAAATATTAAAAAGCTTCGCAAGCTCGTGTTGAATTTAATAGAGTGTTTTCAGGAAGAGGATGAAAACAGCGATCCCCTGTTACCTACTTCATGCGTACTAGAGAGAGTAGCAGATGTACTGAAAGTTAGTCTGCACCCATGGTGCGGAGACTCGATCTGTTTACTTATTCCATATGGCATTGATGACGTAACCGCCAAGAGCGAGGACTACAACTATATTATTACCAAAATGTGTGCGCCTCATACAGGGTTCGTCAGAAAGAACGCATGCTTTTCGAATGGGAACTACATCGAGTGGGCTGGTCCCGTGTCGATGGGGATGGGCGTGTTGAATAGTGGGAGAAGTGCCGTTTCAGTTGGCAAGATGGTATGGAACGTTGAGCATCGTGTGTTCATTGTACGTCGGTCATGTCAAAATGGCGAGTCTGTTGTTCTAGCGCAACGTGAGTTTCGAGTTGACTTTCGTGGTCCACGTCGTGGGACAGTACCACACCGTAACACCATTTGGAGATGGGTGGAAGCATTCAACAGGTAATGTGATGAAGAAGAAACCGCCAGGGCGAAACCGTACTGTTAGAACCCCCGAAAACGTAGACAGAGTGAGGGTGGATATGCTGCAAAGCCCGAATAAGTCCGTCCCTTTGCGTACCAGTTCACTAGGGATCCACGCGTCCTCTGTCCGTCGCATCTTGATGAAGGATTTAGTGTTTGCCAGCAACTGTTGCCAGGGGATTATGCACAACGTGTTAATTTTGCACAGCTCATGATTGAACAGTTGGATAACAATGACGTGACGTTGTTTATGAGTGATGATGCACATTTTCATTTACATGGATAAGTCAATAAACAAAATTGTCGATATTGGTCTCCAGTGAACCCACAACAGTTGCATGAGCACCCCCTGCATACCCCGACAGTTAAGGCCCAACGATGATTATTGGCTCTTATTTTTTGAGTACGATGCAGAAACAACTACTGTGAATTCCGAGCGTTACATTCACATGCCGAATAACTTTTTTTTCCGGAACTTCAACGTCGACGTGTCCGTCTCAGAACAGTGTGGTTCCAACAAGAGGGGGCAACATCTCACACAGCTCGCACTTCGATGGAACTTCAAAAATTCCCAGGACGTCTCATTTCACGTCATAGCGATATTCCATGGCCCCCTCGCTCCCCGGACCTATCAACGTGTGATTTTTTACGGGGCTACCTGAAATCAAAAGTTTACCAAAGCAAGCCTGGGAGCCTCGTCAATTTGAAGTAGGAAACGCAAATTCCTGCACGGCTGCCGGCCGACGCAATGGTTTCATTTTACTCAAAAAATGTATTTCTGAGTATTTTGATATAAAAAAATATTTTCCGATACCGTAAGGTCAGGGTACTTTGTCCCAAAATAATGATATTTTTTATTGCCCTTAAAATTACTTCAGTTTTAAAGATGCTATGTTTGTGTTATTTATACAAATGTTTAGTAGGGATATAAATAACACATTTATAGTCTAAAAACGCTGATATAACTTCGGGGTTAGACATAATTTTTTTTTACAGTTAGGGCCAAAGTTTTACTTAAGAGATGGTTTCTTTGACCCACTTGGTTTTTAAGTATTACAACGTATTGATATTTAATGGTGGAGCAAAGTAAACAGTATATATCGGCAAATATGAAAGAAAGACATATATTATTGTTAGGCACTTTTTATTGCACAAAAAACTAAAAAAGTCACAAAAATCAAAAATATTTCCAGCACATGACTTTTTCTTATTTATTTTAACAAAATCAGGCAGTCTTCTCTCTTATTACGAAATACATTTACTAGAAGTACCTCAATTCTAAAAATAAAAACAAAACATCCCTCAGTTATTACAATAGTGAAGTAAACAAGAGGTAGGAACTTAACAGTCTAGAGTTGCTCATCAGTCTTCAAAATTGAGAATCTTGTCAAGACATATTCAAATTAATCAATTAAATTATGGCTTAATTTATAAAGAACGTATTTTATCAAGTTCAGGTACAGTAAATTGTCCATTTTTCACGAATTTTGGTACTCTTCGTTATCACTGACTCCCCTTTATTTTCGTCTTCATTACTGCAACTTTGACCGTCAGACTTCGAACAGTTTCTTAAAAGCAGATCTTCAATAAACCTTGTGTTGCAATCCGGAGGAATGGGCTCTGGTAGCTGAGTTGATGGCCCAAGCGCCTCCAGATTTCCATCATAGTTGCTTCTGGGATTGCGATTTGTAAGCTGTGCTAGGCGTAAGTTGTCCTCTTCATCATCAGATTGATCTCGTGCCAGAATGAGATCTTCAGTAGAAGATGCCAAACTTATGTCTGTGTCACTGCATTCTGAAGAGGAAACCTCACTAATCAATCGCTTCCTGGACTTTGCATTTTTCTTAGGATCTGGTCTATTTACTCCTGAAGAACTAGCTTGTTCTCTGTCTGAAATATCTTCTGAGCGAATGGATCGACCAGCAGGTATATCTAGCATTTTCTTCTTGCCTTGATTCTTTCGGTTTGGGCTATCGTTACTCCGTAATTGCTTTAGATTTTGCATAAAAGCGCCGGAAATTAGATTGAGATCTACAATTCTGTCTTGCCTTGCAATCTACGTTCTGAGGTTAAATGCCAGTTTTCCTGAACCCGTTTACGAGATAACTTTGGGTTTCTTTCATGCTATCCAGTGCAGTTTTTAGTAGTCTAGGAAATTGATCCTTCGGCACGGTTGGATGTCATCCTCCTTCTGGGGTATTTTTCCAATCTAGCAAGACTTGACGCCATTTAATCTTCAAAGGCCTGAAATATGCCACATCAAGTGGCTGAAGAATATGAGTTGCATTGGCAGGTAAACAGATAAAACTGATGTTGTTGTCCTCGCATGCTGCTAACACATTTTTGTTTATATGGGAGGACAAGTTGTCACCAATAATCACTTTGCGGCCATCTTTTTTCTTTAAAATTGGCAGTAAATGAGATTCGAACCAGTCCTCAAATGTAATACTATCAATCCAACCGCTTTTGGTTCTATTATACCGGGTTCCGTGTGGTCCATTTTCAGTCCAAGTAGACCACAAATGCCTTAAAAATAACATATGGCGGAACAGTTTCCCCTACGGCATTCCCACAAAACATGACTGAAAAATTTACATTTGTAGCATTTACAATCATTTCAGGATACTTTGTGCCACGTCTACAAATTCTGAGAGCGCTGTAACATGGGCAACAAATGCTTGTTCTTCTTCTGTTGGGAATATAGTTGGATGGCCGGGTTTGTTACAGTGCTTATTCTTCAGTTTATTCTTTATCGTACTACGAGGAATTTTATACTTAGCTGCAGCCCTCCAACTGCTCTTTAGTGTAGTCAATGTAACGACGATTTTCCGCTTTCCTTCTATAGATGGTAGGCATCTTTGTGTATCTAAAAGGTCAAAAGTAACGCATTATTCCGATTGAATGGCTTAATATAGCTGGTTATGTAAAAATATAATGAAAAATCATTATAAGGGTACTTTGGCCCATGAATATATTCTCCACAAAAATTACTTTTACCGTTTGTTTCGTATTCCAACATCATCTCAGATGTATATCTGATACATTTGATCACGTAAAAGATCTGCAACTTACCTGATAACTTGGTTTCGTGAGAAAGTTTGCACACAATACATTCACGTGTTCTGCAGATAGATACTTGTTGTCCTAACCTCAAATCTACGCATGCGCTGTGAGCCCGAGATAATGTGCTACCAATATCACTATAGAGTCATCTATCGATTACTAGGTGAACTACATCGATACGTCGCAATGAGCTGGCATGGCAGAAAGCGAAAACTTTTTAACAGTTTGGGCTTAAGTAGCACCGTAGGGCTAAAGTACCCCGATCTGACGGTACTTATTTTGACTGTTGTACTGCCGTACAAAACATGCGTCCTTTCTGACGGACCCTGTATTAGCATACTAAATATAAATCCTGTAACAGTAGGTAGCTACTGTGAGTTTTCTCTAACACTAATCTACATTCTCCTTGATATTCCCTGTACATCATGTATTTTTCCGCATCATCCATCGCCGCATTCTGTAACCACGCCTGCACCATATGTTGCAGTTTAAGCATAATTGCATTTAGTATCGCCGATGTTTTTACAAGTTTTACGGCTCCTGAAAGTGCGATCAGCATAGAAATGGTTGTTTCGCACTGCGCTACCAATTAGAATGGGCCGTTTCCGGCTTTTTTTGCCGCTGACTAACGGCCAAATAATTAAAAAGACTTTATGTGTACTGCAACAGGGACCGCCTTAAACGAAGGTAGGTAATGTGAGACTTTATAGTTTTATATAACATACCGGGGTTTTGAATTTGATTCTCAGCATAAGGATCTGTTCTGGGTATTTCCTGAGACAGACAAAAAAATTTGCAAAATTGTTTTTATCTTTTCCCGGCTTAAGAATAGAATAGAACAGAGTAGAATAAGTTTTATCTTCAATTTGAATTCAAATTAGTATCGGAATACACACGTTTATTATTTAACTGAGGATTTTTTCATTATCATTATTTACCTAGGGGAATAAATGTAGCTTTTGGGTATTTGTTAACTGGGTCTTGAGACATCCAAAAAATTATTAACGTCATGAAATATCCTCAGAAAAACAACTCTTATAAACTGGGTCTAGGTAAACATACCGATTTTAATTATGCACATAACAGGTTATATTTGTATTAGTAAAAAGAGTAATCTACATACAGGGTGTTTCAGCTTATTGTTGCATAACTTTAAGATTCGATAGAACATTTAAAATTAATGCATACAGTCTATATAAACATGGGTCGAAAAACGCGTGGCTTCCGAAATACAGGGTGTTTAAATTTACTTTCTACAATAGTTTTTTTTAAATATTTCGAACAATATTTGATGTATAACAGTGGAAATTGGTATACAAGGGTTTTTTGGCACGAAAAAACAAACCATGGGCATAGCTTTACTGTAGCCGCTAGAGGGCGCTCTCTGCTGTACCTGTAGTGTATTAAAATGACCGAAAATTTTGTCTTTGTGCAATTTTTTGGTTTTTGAATAAAAAAACTGATTCTTCGCACTTTTCATATAAAAAAGCTCTCCTGTGAGTTTTCGTTATAGTTAGCCGTTTTTGAGATATTTCGATTTTTAAGGTTCGATGCATTTTTAATTATTCATGGGAAAATAATATTTTTTTTACATTTTCGATTTGGCCATTACAAATAATTAAGATGATCGTTTAGATTGTTTTTTTAAACACAGCAATAATTCCTAACTCCAAATGAACACAAAAAACAGAATATTAATTTGTTTAATTTACCAATATTATTTTTAACAAATGAAATTAATTATTTACAACTAAAATGCTATTGGATAGTTAGGACAAACATACAAAATCTAAAGTAGTTGCTCGAAATATAAACCCAATTGTTCAATACACAATTCACATCTACGAATGATCGAACGTGGTATAGCATTATTCAAATAAGGCCTTATTTCATCACATGCACTCCTAATTCAGTCTATTAGCATATCTCTTGTGGTTACGGGGGTCTGGTACACTGTTTCTTTTAGAAATCCCCACACAAAGAAATCTAATGGATTTAGGTCAGGGAATCGTGGAGGCCAGGCGACTGGTCCTCCACAGCCGATCCATCTTTTTGGATAATTTTCGTCCAGCCAGTTTCTAACTATTCTCGAATAATGAGCTGGACAACCATCAAGCTGGAACCAGGCCAATCTTCTTAAATCTAACATAACATCATCCCATATATTTGCATGTTCAGCCTTTAAAAATTCCAAGAAGGTCGCAGCATTTAACCTTGCAGGCAAAAGGTGGGGTCCAAATAGTCCATTACGGTAGATACCAATCCACACGTTCACACTAAATTCATGCTGAAAATTTCTTTCCCGAACTGCATGCGGATTTTCATGCGACCAAATATGCTGATTATGAAAATTTACCACTCCACGTCTAGTGAAGCATGACTCATCGGTCCATAAAACGTTACTTAAAAACTCCCTATTATTATCAGTTCTATCAAGAATCCACTGACAAAATGTGATTCTTTGTTCTCCGTCCCCTGGCTGTAGTCCTTGCACAGGTTACAAATGGTAAGGACGTCTATGGTCATTTCTAAGAACACGGTGAACATGGCTTGCTGAAATTCCCAAGGCACCAGAAACTCTCCTAACACTTGTGGTCGGATCTCTATCGAACTCACGCAGAATCATACGGGTAAATCTGCGCTGACGAACATTTATGTTTTGATCCCATTGGAGATTACCAAAACCATTTTCAATTATTTGGCGATGCACTCTTGCAAATACTGAGCGAGTTGGATGTCGTCTGTTTGGAAATCTTCGTGCGTATTCTCTGGCTGCTTCTGCTGCGTTTCCATTTACAAAGCCATACACAAAATGAATATCCTCTAACTCTTGATTGGAGAATAAAAATGGCATTTTGATAAAACTTACAAAAAAAAAACAGGTAAAAGAAACTAAATTTCGTGCATTCACAACTGCAAAAAAACGTTTCAGGTTTCAACAGACAACAAAACTAACTGTCAACTACTTGACGTTTAACCTTATTCTGCTTTCAATTTCAAAAATATTTGCAGGCACAGCCTACTTCTAAAAATTATCGAGATACTGACTTTTTAACGTTATTTTATCATAAGCAATTAAAAATGCATCGAACCTTAAAAATCGAAATATCTCAAAAACGGCTAACTATAACGAAAATTCACAAGATAGCTTTTTTATGTTGAAAAGTGCGAGGAATCAGTTCTTTTATTCAAAAAGCAAAAAATTGCACTAAGAAAAATTTTTCGGTCATTTCAATACACTACAGGTACAGTAGAGAGCGCCCTCTAGCGGCTACAGTAAAGCTATGCCCACGGTTCGTTTTGTCGTACCAAGAAACCCTTATATACCAATTTTCACTGTTAAAGATCAAATATTGTTCAAAATATTAAATAAAACTATTTTAGAAAGTTAATTTAAACACCCTGTATTTCGGAAGCCACGCATTTTTCGACCCATGTTTATATAGACTTCATGCATTAATTTTAAAAGTTCTATCGAATCTCAAAGTTATGCAACAATAAACTGAAACACCCTGTATAGTTGGTTTTAACTAATCGAATAAAGAACTGCATAACGCTAATCTGTCCATTCTGTTCAAAGGTAATAATGGAAATACTGAAAGTGGTATAGTTTCAAAAGCCTGGTACATAAAGACATTTTGAAATATGTAGGAGCATCGAAGGTGTTTCAAGCTGCTAAGCATGTTCCATATCCGTCATATCTAAACTGATGCAAACATCTTGCATTTATCATGAGTAATCTATGACTGAAGTGTCATGTAGGGAAGCTTACTTGTGTTAAACAGTAACGCTTATTGTAGTTAATAAAATCCAATTACGGAAAAAAAAACTAATTTCTGATGTTTTACGATGTCAATCTGTGACAAATTACAGTTTTTGGGATCAGAATTGAAAACTTTTCACTTGTCCACAAATCCAATATGGCTACCATAAGAAAGACTA